TGCTCGGGCCGAAGGAATGATTAGGGTTCGCAACCAGTCTTTGTTACAAAAATCTGACTGTCAGGCGGCGGGTTTCGCAGTGGATTACAAGGAGTCCATTTTATGGAATAAGGAGTCGCCCTCACTTCAAGCCACAGTTTGTAGAACCAGGATACTGAGTCTGTCTGACCTCTAACCATTGACCAATCTGGTATGGGTGGTTTTGAAGGTATGTATGTAATCTCAACAGTCTAGCAACTAGACATAGAACCAATAAAAACCATGGAGATTAGCGGATAAGGGGAAATCGTCGCGTCATAATCATGGTGGCACAGCAGTTGAAAGTGAGCAATACACTTCAGCTAATATGTCGCAGGGAGAAAGGACCATTTTGACAAAAAGCAGAACAAAACATGTTTAGTTTGTTTTGCACACGCCGATTTTTCTCTTTATTGTCATTTTTAATGACTGAAGTATTGAACATGTGAATAAATACAATTCTGTACACAATTCTTCCACTGATTCCGGTTGCCGGCTATGTCTTCAAGAGTGTTAGGCCATTGGCACTCCTCATCTTTGGGTCCCCATTCTGGAAAACGTACAGACACAACAGCGGCTACACACGACGTCAGCGATTTCATGTGCTGTCGTCAAGTGGAAAGCTGACCACCACGCGGTCGCCTCGAGCCAGGTGCTTGAAGAGAGAATAAAGCGCGACGCGGTAGACGCTCAGGTGTCATGCGTAGGACGTGACCGAGCCATCTCAACTGGCGCAACAAAACCAGTTTGTTGAAGGGAATACTCGCATTCCACAAGATGCGACATCGAACGTCATTACTGTTAACTCGACGTTGCCAGCAAACACGAGCAGTCCTCCTTAAGCAACAGTTATCGAAGGCAGAAAGACGACGCATGTCTTCCAGGCGAATCGGTCAGGACTCGCATCCCATACAACAATATTGAACTAACAGATGCGCTGTAAACGCGGTCCTTTAGCAAGAATGAGACGTCACGATGACGCTACAAGTGCCTCAGATTGGCAAATGCCGATCGGGCTTTCGCGAAGCGAAGAGAACGTTGTTGATAGTGCCGTCAGCAGAAACACAGCTCCCAAGGTAGACGAAACTATATACCTGTTCAAGTTGCGCACCTTCGAGAGTGAGTGAAAGCCAATCCTTGAGCAGTAATTTGCTCTTCGTTGGGGCGAAGCTCATGCCATATTTAGAAGCTTCAACCGCCAAACGATCCAGAATAAGTCGCATACCCTGAGGATCGTCACCAAGTAAGGCGATATCATCAGCATAATCTAAGTCAGTCGCGCGCTCACCCGGTAGAAGCTCTAGGCCAAAATGTTGAAAACTTTCTAGAGTATTCGACAGAACGTCTTTGATTGCGAAGTTGAAGAGGAATGGGGACAGAGGGCAGTCCTGTCGAACACGGCTATTGACAGCGAATTGCGAGGAAAGCTTGCCATAGACCCTCACTCTGCCGGATGTATGAAGGTAAAGTGCGCGTAAGATGGTGGTATGTTTCCCTGGCGTCACGTTCTTTAGCAAGCAGCGCCATAAAGCAGGTCGATCAACGGAGTCAAAAGCGGAACGCATGTCTAGGAATGCAACGATAGCGGGCCTGTGATAAATGTGGCGATGTTCGATGAGCTGGTGGAGCGTGAAGATTTGATCCACGCATCCGCGGCAAAGACGGAAACCAGCTTGTTCTTCACGGTAGGATGATTCACGTATTGGGGATAGTCTACGGAACAGAATGGATGCCAACAGCTTGGAGGCAACTGAAATAGGACTAATCCCGCGATGATCTACACATGAAGTGCAAGCGCCTTTCTTGAAAATCGGGACAATAACTGATTCGCCACAAGAGGAAGGCCCTTTCTCCTCATGCTAGATTTTCGCGAACAGCGAAGTCAGCTGGTTAATGATCGCCACACCGCCGTACTTGAACAGCTCCGGAGGAAGTCCGTCTGAGCCGGCGGCCTTGAACCGCTTCAAGCGTCGAATCTCGAGGCAGACTTCCGCTTCTCTGGGTGAATTCAGTGGGACGAGCCAGGGTGGACAACAAGGTGTACTGCATGTACTGATGGATGGTGGAGGCCAGTTGAACTGCGAGTGAAAGTGCTCGGCCCAAAATCCCATGTGCCTCCGTTGTTTGGTGATCGAAGACTCATCCACCTCGAAAATAACCTCACTGATACGAGGCTTCCTGAGGCCAGTGAACCAAATGAGTTGGAAAAGCTTGAGAGTGTTGCCAGACAGGGCAGCGATCTCCATCTCTCAAGCACGCTCAGACCACCATGCCTCGCGATCCTTGCGTTGGCTCTGCTTCAGCAGCCGGTTGGCAGAACGGCGCCGTTCGTTGCAATCTGATTCCGCCGGGATATCTTTGCGGCGTTCGAACAGCTCCAGAGAAGGAGCAGAGATCCAAGCCTTTAAGGTGCATCGAGCTAGGTCGCAGCTTGACATTCCGGAAATGGTCATCGCTTTCTGTATACAAACCCAGTGTTGTTCTGCGCCTTGCGGTGGATCGAAACTGAGTGCGTATGCCACTGAAGACTGATAGCTCGCATGCACAGAGGAATCAGTTAATCTGTGTACATCAATCTTGTGGTGCTTTGTGTTTCGGGACCCCCAAAAAACATGCAGATTTTCGCGCAGACCAGTTCATGATCTGAGTCAACGATGGTGGGCCAAAAGGACCTGCAGTCCAGAACGCTGCCACGCCATCTGAAGCTAATTGCAATGTGATCAATTTGAGACCACGGTTGTGTTGGCGAAGGGGGACGATACGTTGCGGAAGGCTTCTTCGCATACCTGAAGTTAATGCTCGAGAGAAACAGATGTGAGAAGCCTCTTTCCGTTATCAGAGAGGTTCTCATCGAGCGCGTGGTGACCACCAAGGTGGCGTTCATATGGTAACAGGCGGCCAACTCGTGCATTAAAATCCCCAGCAAGGATAACGACATCCGACTTATTGGCATTAGTCAAGAGCTGATGCAGATCAAGGTAGAACTCCTTCTTGACCGAGCCGCTACTGCAGTCAGTTAGAGCGTACACGGAGATCACAAACAAGCTGCGTTTCTCTTCGCGGCGCTTGTTCATTCTACATGAACCCCGAGGCCGAACTGCACATAGTCGGTTGTAAATCTCAGTAGTACCGCCTCGGCCTCGCCACTTAGTGCTATACCTACACCATTGAAACCCGCTGAGGCCGCTTCTGGATCTCTAGAAAGACGCAGGTGATATCTGGCTTTGTGGCCAGTGGGAGACGTCAACGTTAGCACAGTGCTGGGATCTTGCAATCGGGTTTCGGAAAGGCAGCAGACATCAATATCGAGGGACGCTAGGGTGCGGGGTAGACCGACTTGCTGGCCAATCTGCATGAGTGTTCGAAAGTTGAAGTACGTCAGAGGGAACGAGGATCGGGGATGAAGTAGAGTTATAGCTTGAACTCCGTGGTTCGCGATGCAACCGGAATCGCAGCCAGATTGTTGAACACAAGAATCGGATAACGGAAAGTAAGGATTGTTAGCAAACAATATAATTGGCCTGTGATGAAGTCGCGTGAATGTGAGAAGCAGAAACGGCAGTTGATGAGCACGTACAGTATAGAGTACAGTGTATAGTTTTGTGAGACGGCGTGATACTAACAGGTTGCGCAAGCAGGGAGTTGACTTAACCTTTGGCTAAATAAACTACCCGCAAGGCAGTGGGGCGAATTCAGGGAATCGCGCCCATTGGGAGGCGCTGAGTGAGTGTTCAGTTCATGTGTCTTTCGTTTGTAGATCACCAAACAGGGGTCCAATACTCCCCATGAAATCAGCACAATCGCTCCTGCACAATGCCCTACTGAGGTGGAACACTGGTTCTGAAGATGCAAAAGCACCACCAACGATAGCCAAATGAGTCGCTGAGGCACGCAATCTATCGCGCCAAGTTAAGGTCCAGTCTCGTTGCGTTTGCTTATTTAGAGCAACAAGCAAGCAACTTTGAAAATACCTCTGACTTCATGACAGTTAGCACTTTGTGACTGAGGTAATATGAAGATGCAGTCACGTTAGTGTTGTGTGATGACTCAGTGACTTGGATTTTAGCACAGATCATTCCTCTTCGCTCTTTCTATGCATTATTGAAGGCGATTCGGGTTGTGTTGTGATGAGGCACAAAAACTGCTGATGCACTGTCGTCCATGACGACACTGTTGGTGTGTGTAAGAGTTATCTACGAAACACACCAACTATGAGGGAGTTCAGTAGAAATAGCAGACTGTTGACCGGGTTGACGCATAGTGCGAATGAAAAACTCGATGTGAAAAGAGTCGAAGAACAATTTAGATACTCTGTTATCAAGAGCAACAAGCTCAAAGACAATCACTTGTCGAATAATCTGGGAAGAAGAACTAGGGAAATTGACACTAAAGTCCTACTTGCTGACAAACAATACGTCCCGCCTGCGAATTCCGAGGGAGAAACTTTCATCAAGAATCTCCACTTCTAGCCTACAAAAAGGCTGAACTGCAATGTAGTAGGGGGCGAGTGCAATTGCGGGTTAAGGAGGCTGAGGAAACCCGTGGACAGATGTCATAGTTCGGACACATGAGATTTAAGTAGATTAATAGCAACAACGAAACATGAATCTGTAAACACAGTTAGCCGCAGATGAGTTACGCTGGACGGGAACAATGCTGAGGGATGCCTGAGTTAGAGCAAGCGCAAAGAAACTAGTTAGCAAGTGATGCACCATCGTCGTCAGATACGATTCGCGGCGTTCGTGCTCCGATCCGGTAGACAGTATTCCACTGTGGATGACTATACTAAGAAAAAAGAACTATTTGGCACTCTCCAAACTTCTCACGTGAAAGAGTATGAGACTGTCCCTTCAACTAGCAACACGCCTGTCTGATACGGGTAGTTTTGAAAACACACAGGTGCTGCCTAGGTTGGCTAAATGGATCGCAGGCACGCAAAACATTGAACCTCGTTGAAGCGCAGTTTCGTCTCACCAGCGTACCTTCTTTTTATTTACAAGCAAGAGCTTTCGACGCGTAATTCCACTCTGCAAATCACTGGCGGTGTGAGCACACGAGTCCGCCTCTGCACGCTTGTTCTCATACGCGGCCAAGGTTTGATCGAGTTCCAGCTGATTATGCTGAAACAGAGAAGTCAGACATGGTGTGGTTGAGCACATGTAAATGCACCAAAAAGGATTGCCTAACAGCACGAACTCTAAGATGCATAAGAAACTTGACAAAAAAGTTAGTCTACTGCTAAAAGTTGTTTTGGGTTGTCGTATAGGATGAAAAATATTCAGATGAGGCGACCATAAGATAAGTCTTCATCCCCGTTCAAACAATGTGAGCAAACATGGGTGATAGATAACTGGGAGATCAGTAAACATCGGTCTTAGAGTGGACCCTTGTCTCTTGGAGTGATACAACGCACTGAGTTTGAACAGTTTAAATAGGTTAAGAATGCGCACCTATCAGTTTGCTTCAAAATAAGACTGCACTCAAGACTATCCCACAGCAACCTTTTCCTGAACTCATTTTTAAGATACATCAACACATTGACTTGCTACGATGTCATCCGTCCTAAAGTGCAATTGGTTTCTCGACATCACGAGAAACGATTATGCTTATACGACCTAGCTACTAGCCCACTCCCGACTAACATCCATTAGCTTTTATTCTCGCATATGACCTAACTGAATGGTGACGAGATAGAGAAAGGGGTTTGAGTAATAGGATACTTAGGGTCTGAGTAATAATGTAATGATGTCGTTCGACGTTAGTTGGACTAATGTAGCCCAAGCTGTGGTTCGTGTCCAACGTCAAAATTGATGTGTGCACTATACCTTGACCAGCAACACTCCCCGTGATTGAGCTATAGAATTCGGATGTCCTCTTAGTTAAGCTTGCATTTTCCACTGTGCTCACCGACCTCTGTTCGTTGACTACCACATGCATTTTCCAACGCTTAATTGTGCTAGCAACTGTACTGCAGTATGACTTTTAATAGGAACAAGCCGCGTTCTCAGTTCCATAACGATCACAACAAAAAATATCCTCCTGCTGAACTCCTATGTATTAAAATCCGACATTACATCACGCAACACCATGTTTCCCACCGTGATTGCACTGGATTGGGAGTAAAACAAGCTCTCCCCACGTAACTAACTCTAATGACCTGTCTCTCACTGACTTTCTGAAACAGCTTCATAGTTCGAAAAATTTGCCAACCTCTGCTCCAAACAGGTAGGAATTCTAACCTAACGGAGCTGTTAGCAAAGCAGAGCTGAAACCTTACGGACCAGATGATCGTTTTAAAACCAAAAAGGAGATTCGGTGGAGGCTGGAAACAGTGACACCGTTAACAAAAAAATTTCGAAGGAAACCGATTAATATTAAATGTGAGCTCCACCTATGAATTCCTATCCGACTCAATGAAGGGAAGTGCGTGCTGCCCAATCCGAGTAAATGGCTTGCGTTGGATTCTGGCTTCTAGAAGCGGTTGTCTGCCGTGGATGGCCCACGAGTAGCGGAAACACAGCGTCTTCGACGACGATATTGTCAAAACGTGGATGCCTGTTTAAATCATTCTGACCACTTTGCAGCTGAGCTGATGCATGAGACAATGTGGGTGCTTATCACCTACTTTTTCGACATGCCACACAGAGAGTTCAGTCGGGTCAAGTTGCTAGATCTTATGAACAAGGTAGTAACGGATTTGCGCCTAGCTGCACCTTTCGACATCATCGATTTGGACTGTGGAGATCGAAGAAAATGGATGTTCATGTTTTCAAAAGTTATAGAATTTATCCAATTGAAACAAACTTCTCATGGAACTCAGGTAGAGCATTTTAACCAGCATTGTATTTCCGTTCAAGTTCTATCAGCAGGCACTTGCCTCCAAGGCTAAATATGCTGAAGGACAGGAGGCACTTTCCGCAATGCAATCAAAGTTATCTCTGAATAAACCGGAGTTATTGGCAAAGCAGGAGAAATTGCAGTACATCACTCAACTTCGAGGGGAAATTTCTTCGGCCCGTGATGAGATGCAAACTGTTATTTCGAATTTGGAAAACCAGATCGCTGCACTGGATGATTCAGAATTGAAGGTAACGGAGAAGGTAGGTAACGGTGTGTCTTTTGTTCAGTGGAAATTCTACATATCAACGTACGCTTGTGTGATTATTCCGTGCACTTCAGCAGTGCGAACAGTGACCTAACTAACAAACAACTATCTTGTTTCTTGATACTGCTAGATACAGACTTGTGGGTCTGATCATTTTGTTCAACGGGATATGATGGAAATTTTTGTGATTTACACAGATGTCTTCAAAACAGCTTTCTTGGTATGCAATCGGTTAAATGCATTCGAAAGACGAAGAATCTGAGAGTGGGAATACATAAAGGTACTAATCTTAAAGTGAAGCAACACATCCATCTGTGGAACTGTATCCTGAGGACCTGCTTCCATTTTAGCATGTTTTTTGAATTCTTTCCCTCTTTCATGATTTGTAAGCATTGACTTTTGAACCCTAGTATACCACTGTTCCATGTGGAGACTCGCCGTACTTTCACACCCCATCTGGCCGTGTGCTGATGTTGCGAAACAATCAATAAGCCAACACTGTATTAACATACTTTCGGGGTCGCTGTTATTGGTACAGATAATAGACACTCTAACCATTCAGCCCGTTCCAACATCAGACTCACATGAGACCGGCAAGCTTTTTCTCGCCATTTGGTCTGTGGCAAGCCGGAATAGCTTCGCCTGCACATTTTTCAACGTTTCCATTGGAAGATTCGTGGTATCTTATGTTATCACTAAATCGTGTAACACTAAAAAGACCGCACTGCCGTTATACCTAGAACGTCCGGGAAAGGCCAAAATGACCGCATCACTGTATTTCTCTATTCGAAGTTTTATTTACGGTTTTTTTCAATATACATACTAAAAACAATGAGTAGGACATATCTGTAAGCGAAAAATAACCGTAGTGTACTTTAATCTTTTCAAAAGTTGAGAATAATTTTACTCGCTTATTCAGATTTGCATTTGAAACGGGTGGTAACTCACTCAACCTGCCCACATGAGACACAAACTATTTTTTCACATATAGGGCATTTGCTCTTCGACTTGTTACCTGTACAGTAACTAATCTGACACCACTGACGTTTACTTGTCTCACGACTTTCAAACTGCAGAGTTGTTCATCGTAAGTCCAGTTGTCACGAACACTGTATGGTGTATGGATCCACTCAGTTCTCCCGTAAGGCCCATCAGATATGACCGGCGTGATGATTTATTTCCGCAGACACTATTATAAATTATCCTGAAATTAATGCTAGCCAAATCCAGCAAGTTGAAGAATACTTGGACTGGTAATCGTCGAGATGATGACTTGACAGTGAGTGTACTTGCTAATTGGTCGAGTACATCTATCCCATAGTTCGAGTTGTAAAACAATACAGTCTCGGGCTTCCTTTTTCTAGTCTTGAGTGGAAGAGTTACTGTGCAAGAAATTGAAAAACAAAACCTTTTATCTTTTTTACACTGGTAGGATGCTAATGTGTGTTTATTCTTATTCTTCATAATGAGTGAACTGAACAGCTCTCTACTGCTTTGCTGACACTTTTTTTCGATAAGCTAGAATAGTTCCCATCATACTTGCATTTTACTTGAAGAGAATTCCTCTCAATGCCGCAAATGTGAAGAAATTGTCACGTGACATTGTAACCCTTTTCAAATAAGGGCGACATAAAGCTCTTAATACCAAGTTTTCTGGAACACTTTCTCCTCGTGGCCGAGACTCGTCCTTTCCGAGAAATGGAAAACAGTTCACAAAATATGTGCTGTCCACATCTGCCAATATTCAAAACTTGATCCGGAACCTATCAGGTTGATTGGCCATGTATTGAAGAAAAGTACAGTGGATTTTGGTGAGAAACAATTGCTCGTCGACGGTGAGATTCTGCGCAGACACCGAGTACTGTTTGGAGTTACGAATAAATGCATTCCAGAATTCCGATATCAAAGCAAACTTGTCAGTCTGCAGTCTTTCATTTTTGGTAGCTCGCATATCAAAACGAAGGAACCTCATTATTTCCTTGAATGTGTCCTTGCCAATTGTCTCCCTGGAAAGAGGCAATCTGTATTTATCGCACCACATGACATGTTCTTCGACCTCATAAAGCCCCTAATGTAAAGCAGCCCGATAAACGCACGCAGCTTAGTAATACTTATATTCTATTGACAATTGACACCTAAAACTCTCTTGGCCTCAGCTTCAGTACATACTTGAATCTGTTTCAGCATCTGGGACGTGAGTATGATGTCAAAAGCGCTGGAGCTCACCATATTTCACACATTTCTTAGCGTAGACCGTTGGTCCTGGTCTAGCGTTGAAAACAATATGATGGCATCCTAGCAACAGTAGTTGTCTGGAAGTCAATTGCAGTCCACGATGCACCATCTTTCGATATGTGAACACTGGAGGATGTAGAATCGGCTGGTACACTCTCATTACTGTCCTCACGAGGAGTGCCACTGTCAGAAAGTTAACTATCAGGGATGCTGTGATCTTCTGCCGACTCCTGGAAAATAAAATCTTCATCAACATCATATTCATTCGCGTCTTTAGTATCGTCATAAGCGATAGCTATAAGTTCTCGTAAAGCCTCAAAGGCTGTTTTCCTTCTAAGAGCAATTATGTATCAATGGCACTGAAATTTAGCGGAATGAAAGCACAATATTACTGGGAAATCGTGAATCGTCCAGCTTTCACTCCCGTTGTGACTGATATTCTATGTAACTTTGTCAGAAATAACAGTGAAGGCTGAAAACAAAAAAGAAACCGGATTAGAGGAAAGCGGTCATTTTGACCGCTAACGGGCTTTTTCGGTAGTACGAACACAAGTACTTCTTTTCTCGAAAACCATAACAGATATTAAAGTGAAACTTCACAGTTATGAAGGAGGTAACACCCTTGAAAAATGGTGGAACAATGCACAGTTAACGCTCAGCGGTCAAAATGACCGCTTCGGACGTTCTAGTGTTAAGTACCAGTATGAAGTCCATGAATGATATCTGTGAAGAGTTTGGAGGTAGTAGAAAGACAGTTAATACCTTGATCATTTCTGTGCA